TTATTATACAATTGTATTTTATTATTTTCATTATTTTGTATAATATTATATTATTTTATTTTTAGTTGTACTGTTGAAATTTATACCTTGTTATTATATACCTAGTTATGTAGGTATTTAAAACTGTTATTGGTCATAAAATATTCTGGAAATTGCAACATGTTCAGACATTTTTTAAATTAATTTTTGGTGGACATTAAGGCTTCTTTACTGTTATTCATTTTCGCATTTATTCATATTACTCGTCTAATATGCTACCTACCGCTACTTCGTTGGTGTAGTATGCTACCCTACTGTATAACGATACCTACCAAAAAACGTTTACTGATTATTGATTAATAACAAATTGACAACAATATTAATAACAATTTATTACTAAATAATTTATTAATTTATTGTTGTCAAGTACTTTATAATATTTCTATACGTCATTATATATTATTATACATTGTATATTATTTTTACATCATCGGTCATCCTAGAAAACTTCTAATAAGTCGTGTTGCGTATTAATCGATCGCCACCATTCTTCTTTTAATTGTCGGTCTAGTAAATCTGTTGCTCCTTAGGTTTTAATTCCGGATTTCGTTTTGACATGTCTCCATATACACTCGATCGTTTGTGTTTGTGCGCCTGTTGTAGGATCAACAAAAAACTCGGAATGGTTGACGGTTTCATGATGATAGCCTATATCTTTTAAGGTACTGTATGCTGGCCATTGATCTGAATAAATAATAATTGTTCCTAGTTCTATTTCATTTTGTATTATTGGTAATAAAGTTGCCTTATCTCGTTTTCCACTTTAAAAAATCTTCGTTCTAGAGCCCCATCAACATTTTTATAACACATACCAAAAATCTATGGCCCTTGAATGCGAGTACCATAATTTTTTTTAATTGAATAATCATCGTCAGCATCACATAAAAATTAAAACTCACAACGAATAGGACACATACCCGAACACAACACGGACACAGCATAGACTAAAATAATACATCTAAAAGTAAGTTATCATGGGTCTTTGTGCATCAGTAAAGTTACCATAATGGCTATTTAAACCTAAGCTATAATTTTGTACAACTGTTATAATATGTTATTTATCGTAATGACTCAAATATGCTTTCCCGCAATAAAATGAAATAAAATAAAAATAACTATGGTAGGTAGCATACTACACGCATACAGTTTTTTTGTAGATACCATTTAATGGTAGGTAGCATATTAGACGAGTACCGGAAGAACAAGATAGGTTTTGTCAAAAATTGGTGTTTTACCGTATTTTTTGTTGTTATTGTTTTTTGGTTATTAGGAAAAATACGGGTTAATATATAGATTAATATGCAGATATTATCTACGTCATGGTCTAATCTATCTCTGTACCAAATTTCGTCGCAATCGAATGAACGGTTTAGGAATGCATAAAGGACAGACAGAAAAACATTCATTTGTATTACAGAGCTCGAAACCGGTTACCATGACCAATTTTGGGTCTGGTAACCGCTTCCCGGTTCGTAAGTTTAAATTTTGAGAAGCGGTTAACAATGGGTAACGTGTAGCAGTAACCTTTTTTTTTAAAAACCAGTGAATTCAACAAAACCGGAAATATCAAAAAAAATAACGTTATATTTGATTTTTATATTTTTAAATTTTTTTTTTTTGGAAATTCTATTCTATTTTTTTGATTAATAATTTTATTTACAAGATAATAAATGTAATGACGTAATAATAATAGAACCTACCGGCTACGATTAAAGATGATATATTGTCTATAGCCGCAATAATAAGTAATAAGCACCAATCGTAGATACCAAGTACGATTCATTGGTTCATAGACATACTTTAGAACATTTTAGATGATTATTATTTATTTTATTGTTATTGACGCCATTGATTAATACTTTTCCATGAATTATTTTTCAATCGATGGTTAATCATTTTCTAAGTAAAACAAAATTATTATACAAAAAATTATCGTCACTAGACATTGCAAAATACAATATTATTAACAGTTATTTGTTAATACACATTTGAGGATCAGACGTAACGTTGTTCAAAAGGGTGTAATATCCGAAGGGTGAAGGACGTGGAGACGGAATAATAAGGACCGGAAACTACAATAATACATGTAGTATGTACATTGTACGAGAGGCGGCGGCTACTCAAAGTGGAAATGATGACGTTTTATACCTCCTACCACGCCGACTACCTTAATCGTTTTTTGACGGGCCGTCAAAGGAACTTTCGGGACTCTGCCGTCGTCATTGTTGTGGTCGTTACTGTCGTCGTATCATTAATACATTCGATATTATTATATATTATGAATAGCGCATTATTAAGACGCACGTGCCAGAACAAAGGTTTTGGTTAAAAAGGTTTGTTTCGGACGGTATACACAACAAATATTATTAAATTATTGTCTGCAATTCCTTTGCGGCACTCGTCTTTAAAATCGTTTCGGGGAGGGTGGTGAAATTCACCGAAAAAGGCGTGACAGAGGTGATTTTAACAAACAAACAACCCGACACCACTGTAAAATAAATGTACTATATTATTATTCAATATATTTTTACGTCATGTAATTAATCAAAACGATGTCCAGTTAAATATAATATCAATACGAGGTTAGAGTCTTCGTTAAATACAATTAACTGACATAATATGTAATATGTATAATATATATTATATTTCTTCCAATTTTATTACATCGATCAGTACATTCGGAATATTTTATACGACTATAGTTCTATTGTTGGTGTACCAGCGCATTTAATGATAGAATCAATAAATATAATTTTCTTTATTCTCTATTCGTTATATTTTTTGAACATTATTATAGATTAAAATATTTATTATATTTATATTTTTATTGTTTTATATTTTTTTCTCAAACAATTATTTTTAACATGTTTAGACGTTATGATCTTTATTTTTTATGTATTATAATTTATAATAGGTATATAGCTATTACTTATTGTCGTGCTTTTGCAGTACCTACAGCTATATGATATAATTTTTTAAATCGTATACAAATATAAAGAATACAAGAATTATATTTCAGATCGCATTTCGATTTCATGCCCTTTAACGGGTATAAATACCGACCGTTTCTAAGGCGTTCAATATAGGCAATTTTCTATTTGTGTGCATGTGGGTCGTGTAAATGGGTGCGTAGTAAGCGATCATTAGTGTGAGTGATTGTGTATAAAATAAATAGCCCATCGCACCCGCACATGCACGTACATGTCACTAACGCAGCATTTTACACACTCATTACAAAATATGTGATTTTTAGTGAAACACTGAAACTTAGTTACGTATTTCCAATAATATAGCTTATTGAGTGGCATTAGAGTATGAACACCTATTATACAAATTAAAGAGAAGAAGTTTATCTAGGCTTTAAAGGAGTCGATTTTCGATATTTTATTTTCAAAGTCCAATATTTAGGTCTAAAATGTGTGATGTTTTACTTTTTGAATTTGAATTATTGAGTTTAGTAATAAAAATATCGAAAACTGACTTTCATACAGGTATAGATTAACTTTTCTTCTACAGTATTGATAATAGGTGTATTTGCTTTCAAACCTCTCAATAAACCATATTATTAGAAATACAAAAATACATTTTCATAGAATTTTCCAATACTATTCATACCCTTTAAAATTATTAATATAATGGTATATAGTAGGTTAAGTAATAATAGTATTATAAATCTATAAATAATAAAAAATATATAATCATAATATAATATTAACTACTTACTAAAAAACTTACTTTACTTTACTAAATAAATACCTTGATATTTAGTAAAATTTAAACTGCCTTTAAAACTCAACGTCTTATACACCATATACGTCTATGTTATTGTAGTTGTGTAACACTAATCGTACCTACTAAATTTTCTTGTTATACTTACTATGGTATAGCTACAAAAATAATTTCACTACTTACTCCACTTCATAGTTTGTGAAACAATTTTAAAATTTATAAATTAAATATTATTTATTCCAAATTCGTCTTACAATAAACGCTGTGCCTAAATAAAGATAATATTTGAAATGTAATTGAATATACTCCACTAAAAATATACAGTTAAAAAAGTGTGTGTACTATTAGTTACTTATTGTACTGTTATACTATGATGTATATGGACCAAGCTGGGCTCTGAATTTTTGAAATATTGTACTTTATAACAAAGTTATAAAAATTAGTATTTGGTAGCTTTTTTGAACTTTTTTATTTTCTATTCAATCTCGGTGAGCATAAAACAAGTTGAATTTTTTATTTTATCAGTAGGTATATCATTAGTTTTCAGTTATATGAGGTTATAATATTTTTCAATCTTGTACGCATTTAGTTTTTACCTCACTAACAAAAAACTGGGGGGGAGCTGGAGAAAAGTGCACCCCCCCTACCACAACAAGAATCGATGGCATTATGGGGATGTTTTTTTCGGTCTAATCATGTATGCCCGTTTCCGAAATTCGTACGACCTCCCGTCCAAGAACTAATAGCGTCCAAACATTTATATTTTTTCTCGTTAACCTTTCCCACACTATCGAAATACTGTACCACTGCTCCAAATGACCACTAAATACAAATTACAATTGGAAATGTTTTTGCATTTATTTCCTTTGGAAAAAAAAAACGAGATATATTTTAATCAGCTGTATTGTAGTATCCTTTTTCAAATTAATTTTTAGTGAATAACTATATAGTAACTACAAAAATATAAGATGCAGCAGACTTGCTATATTTTACTTTGTATACATTTTACAAAAACAAAGTGACTTGCTCAGTTTTTAAAAATATTAGAATAAAAACAACGTACCACTATGATATTATTATATTGTTATCTATTTACACGTTGAGCGTTTACTAATGTTTCGTAAACATTACAGTATTAAATTTTAATACTTTAATATAATATGTGTATTGTTTATTTTTTGGTGTGAAACTGTAGAAGCAGCTGACTAGAAAATAAATAAATCATAAAATGTCTAAGTAATGACCGACACGAGGTGGTTCATCGGTACATTTCGGACGGATGGTTCGAAAAAAATGATTTTTATATATCCCGCAATGTCTTCTGTCACGGAAAGTATACAGGCCAATATGCCGTAGTATCTGGTCGGTGACTTGAACGCAGCGTGTTTCATCAAAGCGTCCTTGGCGTTTGTTCCGATGGCGGTCAAGTCGTTTCTGAACTCGGCTGTATCGCATAGATCTCATAACAGAACACAAAACCAAACATATACAAATCCAAACTTCTGCATAAATATCATAAAATTGATCATTTTATAAATGATTACATCACTTACCTGGTCGACACAGGACGAGGGTAAGCACTAAATTATATTCGACCGAATCGAGTCTCATAGCCCGGTGACTGGAGATTAACGTGGCGACTATATGTTCGATACTTGAGTTGGATCTATAAGTGGACCAAACAAAAAAATCAAAAACAAATTCTTATAATTATTGCAACGTTAATGACAATGGTATATCTTTACAGTACGTATTAATGTATTAAATATACGGAGCTCACCCAGATAAAAGTGTTATGAGATTCGTCGGCCAAAACGCCGCCATTAGCACGAACGATTGATGCCACGTCCTATTGAGTATTTCATTTTGGACAGCGTTTGGTAATATAGCCATAGATTCGTTGAATCTACACTGCCTGAGACTCGTTAAAAATATTTGGGCGCCAATTTCGTATACGTATTCACCTAAACCACGCGAAACAGAACGTACTCGGTATTATAGGAACTCGCGCCTGAAAGTAACTTATTTTCAATAGCTTTGTCACACGTGGGTGGATGACCTGTTTAACGAATGGAGAAATTATACTGACAACCAATTGGATTTTAGAGAGATGGGCAAGAAATGTATGACATTTCTATACAGATAAGAATTTTTTAACTCGTTGATCATGGAGTTGGTGTAACAAACGGAATCATTAACTTATACATCTTACTTCTTGTCTTCCAGTTTTTTGGCTCAACGGTGTTGATTTCAGTTATTTTAGGCAACTTGGACTTTCTCGGACCTCGTTCGTCTTGAACGGCTAAGGAAAAAGAGGACCATGAGATCGGACAGTTAAAAAATAACGAAGCTAATAAAAAAAAACTAACAAATTGTAAAAGTTCTGCGTCAGTTGAATATAATACCGTCATTATGTCATATAATATATTATCATGTGTATACTTATAGATATTGTCTATAAACAAAATATTTACCAGAAACATTCATGTTGACCCTCATACACTTTTGAAGTCTACAAAACGGGCACCAATTTCTTCTCGCCTTGTCCACAATACATTGACCCGTTCCGGCTAAACGCGTGTAACAATGATTAATTTTATTAATAAAAAAAAAACGCCTAATATGCCTACACTTTAATATTATTATAATATACTCTTTTAGATACCTAACCATCAACGTACCAATACACGTATATACGATCCTCCGCCTGACACTCCGCTTGAAGAAACAAGAGCATCCATCGCAGCAGTAAACGCCGTAGTGTTTTCCAAACGACTTATCACCACACACTCGGCAGTACACCGGGATCGGTAATGTTCGTCCTACGATAATTTGAAATAAAAAAAATGAAAAATATAAACAAATAATAACAATTGCGGTAAAACAATGAGTATGATATTGTAGACTTATTTTAAAATAACTGTAATTAAATAGTTTTGACAAAACAAACATTTAAACTGTACCTGCATATTTTTTAGACTTATATTTTAATAAATTATTAAATTTAATATAGCATTATATAGTTGTTCAGTTACTATAACCATTGGTGCAAACAGAGGGGGGCTTGGGGTGACTTAGTCCCCCAAATTGTTGTCATGTCCTCCCAAATCAAATGTTGGTACTTAGTACCAATTAGTTTAAATAAAAATAAAAAAAAATATACTATCTATATTACATATTTACATTGGATATTATTCCTATGAACATAAAATGGTTTTTAGGTTTTCGTATTCTTAAAGTGGTGAGAACTCGCTCCCCCGGCACAAGCTATACTTTTTGGGGGGCTGCAATATTGCATGCCATTGTTCATTTATGAATAACTTTGTTTTGTTTTGTATTGTTTCAATAAAGTTATTATTATTTGTATTAGTACTAAATATGAATAACTTTTAGAAAATATCATTGGGGAGGGGGTTAATACCTCTAAAAAAATTGGACTATTAGCGCCTATGACTATAACCAAGACCTATACTCCGCAACAATACCATTGATTATAAACAGGGACGGATCCAAGGGGTGGCAAAGGGGGCATCCCCCATCACAATCACCGTAGTCGACTTATCTTTTACACTGTGTTTGGCCAATTTTATAGTCTTTTTGTATTGTGCACAAAAAAAAATCAAGCACTGGAATCCGCCACCGATTTATACTCAATGATTTTACTATAATCGCACGTTAAAGTTTAAAAATAACTTAAGGGTAATAAACTATTAATTAAATATAATATTATATTAGTGAACAATGTTACAGTACTTTTATAACTTTAGATTTAATGTACGACGAGTCTTGAAAAAAATGCGCCACATTAACTTAATAAGTAATAACTCATAGGTGATAGACATCGATAGACAAACACGTACGCGTACCTATTTAATTGATTTCATGGACACGTCAACTAATCCCAATACGTAAACATCGATGTATAAACATTATGGTTTTCAGCATATATATATATATAATATAATATGATTATATTATGAAATACCTGACAAAAATGTGTTTCTTCGTTATTGTTTAGACACGCATGCGTTATTGTGCAAACAGTGCATATATCATTATTATATTAAACAGCGCTCTCGGGACAACGACATCCGCAGATAATCGATTTTCGTTATCTTCTCCCCGTGCGTTTTCATAAAACATATTATTTTTTGTCATACCCATAACGGCCTTAACGCGTCATACATATATACGAACCGTATAAGTCGTACAACTTATATTATATACACAATACGCATTATTGCACACGCAGCATTGTCGTTATAGGTACTCGTTATAAATTATAATGATCTATAATACGCGCACTGCTGCAGTTATATTATTGCCGTTAAAAACAACAAAAATGAATTATGTCCTCTATTGGCACACTCGTGACTCTTTTACGCCGCGGCTATGTGGGTTTTAAATAATTGCAATAATAATGTGTACTGATGTGTACAATGTACATAATAATAAAATTACGTGTAGCCAGTATATTGTATATAATATATATGTATATATGAGACTGCAGTAAAGTACGGACGAATATGCGCGTTTTTGTCGTTTCCTACTATACGTAATATATTATAAATACTACGATATTCAGCAACTAATAACTGTATTACGATATGTATAAATATAATATACTAACGCAAACCCGTCGTACATGCGGCAGCCGAGGATTGATCGTTTTAAAATAAATATTATAACATAAATATTAAGTACACTATCTAGTGGCGATAAATCGAATAATATTATATAACAGCCCAGCCTCTCGGAAAATCTACCACGTGCTTATAAGTAGTTAAGTATATATTATAATAATATAGGTATATGACCAAACACCGCAGAGCTCGACGGTGTAAGCATATACTATATTATTACCCTACTCCTTTGTAACAGATAGTATTATATTATAAATGTATAATATAACTTATAAGTACGTATTATTAAATTCCGAGGGGTGGACGTCGGAGGAAGGACCGACTGCGAATGAACGATATCAAACAGATCGTTGTAACACGCGTGTACCAGCGTAGTATATTATAACCATAGGCGTGGGCAGACTTCTGGTTCCGGAGGTGCACACTAAAAATTAGGGCCCACAATAATTTTGAAAACAATTATAGATACAGACAAATGTTTCAAAGATATCAAATGCACTAAAAATATTTATTTTATTTTAATTCTAATAAATATTACATAACAATATAGATATAGATATACAATCTTATAATGATAATCGATGTTTTTGAATTCGTTAATAATTTCGTTAATTTAATTTACACTTAATTAATAATTAGGGCCCTTGTCGTTTTTGATGAAGGGTCCGGCACCCCCTGTGCGCACGCCTATGATTTTAATATATATTGTTATCTGTACTCACCCATATACGTGTCTTATTAAATATATTATATAGAAAACTCTCTTGTGCGTGTACAGTGGAATGGCGTATATTATGATGAGTATGCAGACACTACAATGATAATATTGATGTTGGATTTACACAAATCTGTGAGCAGTATAATATAATAATTATTTTATTTTCCGATCGTGAGATAAAATCATATAATAACTACTATTGTATTGACAGCCGGTGGTTGTTCTTCGCGGGTTAGAGTATGTCTGCGGCGGACTCGGTACCTACGAGCGGACTGCGATGGAAGAGTTTTGCGTTTTTCGGTACCTGCGCCAAAGGGCAAAACGAAAAACATTACAATGGGAAAACATACACACACGTCAAATAGTAAGGTGGCATGATATTATATTATTGTTATCGTGACATATATGAGGGTGGAGGAGGTGGTTGGCGGAAAGTGAGGAAAATCGCTGCTGTTATTCGAAATCGGTAATGGGCGGATAATTGTGCGAGTGTAAATAATAATGATATACGTACAAACGGCAGCAAACGGGTGAACCGTTGGGTGGGTGTGCTTGGGAGGGGTGCCCTTACACGTTCTCGGTATTATTATTTATTCAAAAGCCATTCAAAAGTCCCTTCGAGGACGTGCGCCACTGCTAGTGCATGCACTTATGTCCGCCACGACCGTTTTCGCGCACGTATAGATATAATATAACAATAACAATATTCTGCATTTTAGCAGCCGGGTGACGCCGGTTGACCATTGATCCCTCGCCCGCGTCCATTAAAGTAATGTTTGCTTTTGCAACCTGTCAACCAGATATCATAAATCCCGACGTCTGAATGTATCCATTAAAAGGAAAAAAAACTTGAAAACATAAAGGGTCACGTCATCGGTCATTATTATTTTATTATCATTATTATATTGTTATTATTGAGAATAAACGATTCATTTTTTTTTATTTCTCATTTTATATGGCAGTTATATATTCCTAAAGCAGTAGGTCGGACGTAGCCACGTACAATTATTCGAGTTTTATTTCCGTTTCTCCTAGATTTATTTTTACTATCAATTTTCCTTTTTGAACGTCCACCCAAATAATTAAAAAATACAATATCCCGGTAGTCGAATCGTTCGTGGTGTATTGTTCGTCAGCAAAATTTGCAAAATGTATCATATTCCTTAGTACTCTACTGTCGTAGATGGTAACACTGACCGTTCAGACCTTCGGGATCTTCTTTTAATTATTTAAACAGATTTCTATGTTTGTATTAGGCCGTTGCCGTCTCCATATTTAAGGAAGCACTTCGTACAACTTACAATTACTGAAATACACAAAAACAATGCAATAAAAAAATACTGAAAAAACCACAACTTTTATAAAATGTGCAGAGCTTATCACTGTGATTGAATGGTCTAGTCTGGTTCAAGGACTGTGTAAAGGATTCTAGGGTACTTTGTACTGCCGAGCACTAAATGTGAGAAACTCTGAGACTTTGTACAGTCGGGTAAACATTTTCATTTCAGAACGTGGACATCACTTTATACTAT